CACCCAAGGGTAAAAATCCAAAGTGCCCCCCCCCCCCCATAAACAGTGAGGTACCTTAGTGGCATAGGTTGTAGGTCTTGCCCTTGTGGTCAGAGCCTGGCTCCACCATCATTCAATCTGATTGTATAGTTCTCAGAATTCACAGATGGATCTCTCATCAAGAGTAAAGGGCAGCCAAAGGTCAACGGGTGATTTCACCCATGCTAATCTTGGTCAATGGTTCACCTCGATGGGGCTGTTGGCACCACACCATACACCCCTCTCTCTTTGTATAGAGAAATGTGATGGTGAATACATGGCAGTCAGCCTACCCAACTCAACCCAACCCTGCTAAGTTGCACACATCATATCATTTCATCTTTAATTAAGTCATACCAATTCGATTCATCAGAGAATGTTCCCTTGAGATGACAGGACGGTGGACTGTGTGATACATCTGTACATAAAGTTCCATAATACGCTCAGTCCATTATGCTTTATGATGAGTGACAAGTGTCCTCACCGATCGATTTTATTGATGTCCAGCAATGCCAATCACATATTGTGCACACCATGTGCAGTGGCGTTGTATGAAATATTACACATACCATAGAAAAAAAATCACATATATATATACACTGAGTGGCCAGATTATTATGACCACCTGGCGTTTGTAGGCAGATTAGCTATAATTTGGCGCTGAAGTTGCTAGAGGGCCGGACCATTATAAATAGGGAAGCAGGTTGGTTACCACGACAGTAGAAGTGATTTGTTTCTGAAGATACGGGGAAACAACGCGATGTAACAACCTTTGAACGTGGGATGATTGTTGGCGCTCGGAGGCATGGAGCGAGTATCAGCAAAACAGCAGAATTCATTAAATGTTGAAGAGCAGCTGTTGTTAAAGTGTTTAAAGACCGGACTGTCAGCCGAAAATCTGGGTCTGAACGTGCGAATTGTGGCCGTCAGCGACTAGTCAATGTTAGGGCAGAACGGGGGAGGGGCAAGACTGGTACAAGACAACAGAAGGGTAACAGTGACGTGTCAGATTCCTCGCATCACCTTTCATCATCTCGTGGAGTCACGAGGCGGCCCAACGAAGTACTGATGGGGTGGTCATAATAATCCGACCACTCAGTGTATATATATAAGCCTGTGTGCCTGGGCAGGGATTGGTCAACTCGGTACCTGTGGGCAGTCGAGGGACTCCACTTGTGAATAGACCCGCTTGGACTTGTAGTTCTCCCAGGTCAACCGTAGGGATCCAGGGTGCCCATTCTGTATTATAATTATTATGTATAATTTGTGTACAATTTTTATTTTCTTATGTAACC